CACTTCGCTTACAACAAATTTTATATCTCTTCGTGTCAGAACACGTAACCCTGAAATCAACGACATGTTTCATATGGTACCTGGATATCGCAAAGACACAGTCAGATTTGTTTTTGAACTGGTTCCCAACAGCTATGTCATCCTCCAGCGGAAGACAAGGATTTTTGGGCCATTGAAAGGATGATTCGTCTCCAACTGTATCCAGAGTTGTCATGTGGGCGGGTGGACAATAGACATTCTCAAGTGGAATGTGTTATTCAGTTTCGTTGATTGCATCCGCCTCGTCACGTCCACCGTCTTTAAATAAAGTAGTGAACAAATCATCAGCTTGTGACTCAGTCTCCTCTTCTTCGTCATCTTCGACAACGACTTCCTCGGGAATTATGGACACGGGCTCAGCATCATTGGGATTGGCCACTTGTGAGATTTGAGATTGTTGAGAAAGTAGAAATTTTATGTATAAATCTATCGCATGTAACCCAGATAATTCATGGTTGTAAAACATCATTTCCACATCATCATCATCTCGGATTTTCAGTGGAACATATTTCACCTGGTTAACACCGAAATTAACAGCATTTCGATATATAATTTGTGAGACAACTCCAGATTGCATCCTTGTTTGTATTCTCTCCCTCAAATATTCAAATTTCGCATTTCTACTTAATTTGAACCGGTATATATCGGTATTTTCGAATATAATGCCCATTTCATCAGAGATAATGATCTCTCCATTGTAATGAGCATCTACTATATATTGAGGTATTTGAGACATGTTGATTTGTTAGTGAATAAAATCTGAATTGTAGGAGAAATTTGGTTTTTAGATGGGTTGGCTTGATGAAAAAAAGTAGGAGGTAGAAGTGTATTTAAATGAAATAGATTTTGTGTTTAGTAGATATGGTGTAATAAATAAACGCAGGAAGAATTAAATTTAGTGGTCAAACTGAATTTATGTTGTAATAACTCATCCGCCCAATGCAGAAGCGGTGCCATTAAAGTGTGAAAGGGTTCCGCCCAATGAGTAGGCGGATGCATTGATGTTCCTACAGGCTACGCCCATTGCTCCTGCGTCCTTGGCAGCCTAATTGCACGCTTCCGCCCATTCAAAGCGCGAATGGCAGATAAAAAGTAACATGTCCGCCCATTGAATCTGTGGAGTGTCAGAAAATTAAAAGGGTTACGGGAAATATATGATGCATTTGAATTGAACCAAGATTCCCCTTAGAACAAATTCATAAAAAAACTAGAATTTATATTTTATTGTTATTCGCTTGTTTATTATTTCCTGACACAAATGGTAACACAATACATCTGATGTATTTACCATTGCTAGCTGACTTTAATAAAATAGGTAGATACAGTTGGGGATCAGCAGTTTTATCGCATCTATACAGAAACCTCTGTAGATGCGCCAAAAAAGATGTTCATAATTTTGCTGGTTGTTCAACACTAATACAAGCTTGGGGATGGTCCAGGATGCCGAATCTAGCGCCTAGGAATCGTAATCCTTTTCATTTTCCGTACGCAACCAAGTAAGTTGTAACTACTCCTTTGTCTTAAACTTATTTATTATGTGAACAATATTTAACTATTACATTTTTTTAGATGGTCTGCCTATGGGATGGATTACGAAAAGACTCCTCATCATTGTGCACCCGGCTATCGGACTTTCATCGATCATTTCGAAGAATCTGATGTAATATTCTTAACCATATTTTAAGTATTACATATTTTATATGGTTCGTTAAACTAATAACTGATTTTTTTAACAGTTTACATGGAGGCCCTATCTGGGACTTGATGATACCGATCCGACCGATAGTCACGTGTGGAGTGCAAAAACATTTATCATATGTTTTACTACTGTTGAAATGCACCATTCTGATCGGGTAAAACTTCAATTTGACATTAAGCAAGGCATACCGGATGCTCCACAGTGCATGGAGGAGTATCACAAAAGTGTGGTGAACGATCAATGGGCATATAGCAATTGGAAAGATTGTTACAAGCAGGAGCGTCGTCAATGGCATAACCGCGAAAATAAAGTCTTACAAGGAGATGTCATGTCAGAAGAATGTAAACCAAGTAAGGAATACATGGAATGGTATAAGTCTGTTACAAATTTGTATCTGTCACCAAACAACTTCTTGTATGACCCTCGTAATTTCCCAACATCTTCAAACGTCCAACACACCAGACCATCATCAAGCACTTACACCCAACAACCATTCATGAGCAACCAAGAACCTTTCTTCCCAACACAACCATCTTTTACGCAACAACCTTTCTTCCCAACACAACCACCTTTTACCCCAAGCCAACAATACCATCAACAAAACCCTTCTTCTAACCCCATCCAATAGGGCACCCAACAACAAAACCCTTCATCTAACACCACCCATTGGGGCCCCCACCAACAATATCCTTCCTCTAACCCCACCCAATGGGGCACCCAACAACAATATCCTTCATCTAACCCCACCCAATGGGGCACCCAACAAACCCCACAAAATCCAAACTATCAAACACCCCAACAACAAATGCCTATTCCCCGACCACAACAATTTACCTCCCAAGATTGTTACCAACCCTCAATAAATAGCCCAATGTCTTCTAATCCCATACCAAATTGGAATTGGGAGGGAACCAGATTAAGTTATGGCAGTGCAGCCGAGACAGACTTTACCAATGAGGACATGATTGAGGAATTTTTAATGGGCGGGTGTGACGCGGGACCTTCAACTTCAACTCAACCACAAAATGAAGAAGGAAATCGCAGAACAGGCCAACGTACTAGACGAGCACCTGCTTGTGGAACTCACCAACGATTGACACGACCCGGTCAAAATCGACAGTAGATGTGATGGGGAGATTATATATGTTAAAATGCAAAAAATTAATTTATGTCCTTTAGTTAAATTTTTGTTTATTTATAGTATATTTTGTTTAATTAAAGTGTATTTCATTTAATTTATAATGTATATTATTTAATTATATGAATTTAATTTATAATGTATATTATTTAATTATATGAATTTAATTTATGATGTATATTATTTAATTATATGAATTTAATTTATAATGTATATTATTTAATTATATGAATTTAATCTATTATAATGTATATTATTTAATTATATGAATTTAATTTATAATGTATATTATTTAATTATATGAATTTAATTTATAATGTATATTATTTAATTATATGAATTTAATTTATGATGTATATTATTTAATTATATGAATTTAATTTATAATGTATATTATTTAATTATATGAATTTAATTTATTATAATGTATATTATTTAATTATATGAATTTAATTTATAATGTATATTATTTAATTATATGAATTTAATTTATAATGTATATTATTTAATTATATGAATTTAATTTATGATGTATATTATTTAATTATATGAATTTAATTTATTATAATGTATATTATTTAATTATATGAATTTAATTTATAATATATATTATTTAATTATAATGTATATTATATGAATTTAAATTATAATGTAATTAAAAAAAAATACGTTTTGCACTCATCCGCCCATCTAATGGGCGGACCCTCTCTTTTTTTATAAGCATCCGCCCAATGCAGATGCGGAGTCCAAGAAATATACACTCCTCCGTCCATTGTATTGGCGGATGAGTTGTGGCAAAAACTTGTTTTTGTTTGAAAAGAGGGTATATTGGGATATACGAATGTGTGAGATGGTATAGTGGGATTTAATTCCTAAAAAAAGGGTATGTTGATAAAAAATTCAGCAACAAAACCACGAGGATATCAAATACAGTCAATTATTCTACTAGCTTTTGTTAGCAGTACTTTATAGACTTAGTAGATCCTTCAATACAGAACTTTGTTTTGCAACTTTTCTCATGGTGATTGTGATAGATATGAAGTGAAAACTTGACTATGCCAACTTTTTATTCTATATAAACAGGTTAGTTAACCTCCAAGAAATCACCTCAAAAACCAATTTTGCCAGCTAACAAATGAGATTTAAAATTATAACACACTTCATTCTTTCAATGCATTGCAGTGGAAAAGTAACAAAAATGTTTGAGAAACTTAGAAATTCTATGGGATCAAGAAACTTGTGCTGAGCTAAATGGCACACCTTGAAGTAAATTGTGCAGTTATTACACAAGTGATCAGGTGTTTGAGTAAAGGCCAAGATTAAGAAAAACAGTCGTAATTAGCTTGAACCTGTAGTCATTAGTCCGTCGTCATACAAAAATTTAGAATTTTCCCTCTCCCTTTCTTGTGTTCTCGCTCAAACAATATTCAGAATATGCCAGCCGCAGCAAAAAATAGAGGCATAATAATTAAAACAGAAATCAATACTAATTTAGCCGAAGATTAGTAAAGACGACGCCGATGAAAACAATATTCCCGAATACAACATTATAGGGTATGTTTTGATGGAGTCTTTTGGAGGAGAATTCTTATTTTTCATTTTAAAATTAAGCAACCTATAAAATGTTTCTAAAAATAAATTAAGTGCGATCGAAATACTATATAATCATCTATCATGTTAATCTTTCAATTTTTTTAGAATCTTGAATATATATTCAAAATATAGACTTGGCCCTCCAAAACGTTCATCTAAACATACCCTTAAAAACTAGGAAGTCTGGTTCTAATGTTCTATTACATTACAATGAATAAATAACTGAGAGCACTGTGCCACAATAATTCACTTCTACCTAGAAGCTCTGGTTCCTGATATTAAAGTGTAAAAATAGTTGTTGCTGAGTGGAATGTCACAGCACAATGACTAAGCAAAACAAGACAAACAACTGAAACAAGCCAAAATACTTAAGACTGGGAAGCAAAAGAGATAGTCAAGCAGTTACAAATCTCAACCATTATTTTAAGTTACAAATTTGAAGACCAAATAAGCCCTCTTTCTGCAAATAAATTAGTTTCAAGTAGAAGGTTGAGTGAGCTTTACAGATAAGATGGATTTCTCCTGAGGTTATCAATTAGTAACATTATCATCATCAGAGTCTAATTTCCACCAAGAGCCTCTGTCATCCTTGTAGTCATTATCGATTTCGTCACAGATATCTTCAATATCATCATCTCCAGATGTATCATCATCATCATCCAGGTTGAGTTTCTTTTTATCGACATCAGGGTTGTAAGTCCACTCTAACCTTTTCAATATATCCCGATCTTTCCAATTTTCCAGAAGCGATACAGCCTCCTTCTTAGCCTTCCCCATCAAAATTTCCTCCCAAGAAAATGCAGTATCGGCAGTCCTTTTTAAGACTCCGTCACTAGTAAGATCCCCAATAACAACAGTCTTGAGACATCGCAGCTTTGCTTCGTTGATCACATGAACAAAATCAGAATCATCTGATACAAGGACCACGCACTCAACTCGCCTATGATCCATCATATCCACCATATGCTTTCGCAATGCAACATCTGCAGCTTGCGGTCTATCCAACACAGTTTGAACCCAAAACCCTGCCCGTTTGAGCTCATCCGCCAAACCATACCCAACTTTGGGAGTCAGAACAGTCCTTGCAGCCTTCTTATACTTTTCCATTTTCATAGCAAACTTCCCCACCAACTTCACTTTCCTACTCCCTCTAGCCGACTCTATCTGATTCACCCTTTTCGCGTGCTCACGCTCATGCAACTGCTTGAAATGGTTAACAAGTTTTTCATTTGTATAAAACTTTCTCCCACAAACACGACAAAGATGAGGCTGGTTACGTTTGATCACACCCTTATCCTCCAAACTATACAACAATTCTCTCTCTTTCCGACTCTCACGAACAACACGAGGGACAATGCTAAAAGTGTGAGTATTGGCATAAGCTACCATATGGCGAACAACACCGAAGGAAGCTGCAGCAATTCTGAGCTTATTGGCAACTTCGTAAGGTGGAATTGAACTGGGTGGTTTGTTATCCAAGTCCCAGAAAAGCCCTACCCTACATAGCTTCTCGTTTTCACCCAAACTTCTACTACGCCCCTCAAAATGACAGTGTCTCAAACCACCGTATAAGATTCTACGGAATTTGAGGATTGAAACCATAAATAACTATCAGGTTTTATGTTCTTCTACAAATCAAACTGCCTTTGAAGAAATAAACTGAATTTGATAACAAGGGTGAGAGAGAGAGTTTCATTTCAGCATTTAGATTTCAAGGAAGCAGAAAAACAACGGTGCTTCTGCCAGAGACAGAGAGGCGTTGAGGATTGATAAGGGCAGTCAATGGCGGGTGCCATGGAACCGGAGCGGGCCGCTCATTCCATTGTTCATATGGGCCTTATTATCCTAACCCTCGCATCATTCTTTCCTACAAGAATATTTTTTAACCTCATTTTTTATGATTTTCTTTTCTATAATTCTTTTTTTTTTCTTCTCTTTTTAATAGTTACGTTTTGAACTAAACATCTTAAAAATCTTAATTATTTTATTCTACATATATTGAATAATAAATTGTTTTGACAACAAAAAAGATAGACAACTAACTAATTAAAATAGATAATTAAAATAACATACTCTTTAATCAATAATATGTAAAACCGTTTAACAAAATTATTTTAGAATATAAGGACAAACAATATCCCTTGTAAAAAGATTGAAATTCTATATGATTAATAGGAGATTGTTAGCCTTCGGGACTTCATGCTTAAATATGAGGGAGTTATTGACCTAAGAGTTTATTATTTTAATTAGCTAATGGTCTATCTTTTTTGTTGTCAAAATAGTTTGTTATTGGACATATGTTGAATGAAATATTTAAGATTTTTAAGATATTACATTCAAAGCTTAACTATTAAAAAAGAAGAAAAAAGAATTATAGAGAAAAAAAAAGTAACAAAAAAAGATAAGTTTAGTATATATGTCATTAGGGGACTATCAAATACGAAAGGAGACAAATTTAAAAGTGTTAAATCAAGTAATTGAAACTCGAGGACCAAAATCAAGTAATTAAAAAATGTGAATGACCAAAATTAAACAATTGAAACTTGAAGGACTAAAATCAAACAATCGAAAAAATTGAGAGACTAAAATTACATTTAAGTCTTTTTTTAAAATACAATAATAAATTGATAGTTTTTGTGATAAAATTCAAAGAAGTCGCATTATAAAATATAAAATGAGAAAACATCAGTTGGGATTTGGACAGAGTAAATACAAGTATGATACTGAAGTTGTCAATAATAAATGTATGGATGAAAAGTGTAGCTACTCACATCAATTCACTTTGTGAACATCACCTTGGTCCCTATCGGTTGGGTGTAATTATTGCAAAAAGATCACTATATAATGTCCTTCTTAGCTAACCCAAAATGGAGGAGCAACCTAAGGCCTTAACTCATCAATTAGTTTTACAAAGAGATCACTATATAATGTCCTCATTCTATCAATAAAATTTGAGCTTTTATCCAATTCTTTGTAGTTCTTATTTTTATTCAGCTTATAAACACTTCATTTATTATTGATAATAATTTTCAAAGCAAAAAGGATTAAATAACAAAATTGTTTTTTTTTTTAAAGAATTCACAACTTACTTTTATTTTAGATTTTGTGATTCAAAAGGAAAATAAAAGTGGTGATCCCAGGAATGGACGAACTCCAGTAATTTTGGGAAGTTTTGTTTCTCCCGGAAAGGTTTTCTCAGGTCGCTCTTCACTGGTATGTGTATGATTTTTGTATATTGAAGACAATACTAATTGGTGTAAAGTGCAGTATTGGGTTTGTGATCCCAGTGTCCCCAGTCAAGTCTTGGTTCATTTTTCACTTTTTTTTAGTTTGTATGATATGAAGACTCAATCCAAGATTCTCCAGTGAAGGTCTCGCTTATTTGATAGAAGTCCTTTCTCCCCAGAGAAGTTGGTGCAATATTTACTCTCGAAGAAGAACGTATCTCTGGTTTCCCCAGTGAATAATGTATATTGGTTTCCCCTTGATGATGTGGTGTTGACCTCCCAGTGTCGCGATGATGAAGCATTATCTCCTTTAGTGAAGCCTGTATGATATTTCTCCATTGAAGTCAGTTTGATTTCCTCAGTGGATGTTTTGACAACTTGGTTTCCATCTGTCTTATTTTAAATCAGTATTAAAATTCCTAGTAGGAGTACGGACCGTGAAACATTTGTTTTTCCCGTTGAAGTCTGAGTGTTATTCCCTGGTGGAACCTGAAGAAGGATGTTATATCCCTGTATCTGTACTATTTTGTCGCTCCCCAGTAAAGTTAAGCCATGCAGTAGGACTTTGTTTCCTCAGTTGGTGCTTATTTTCTTATGGAATGTTCGTCTTGGATGTGATTTAGCCGAGTGTTGCATGCGTCCGAGTTGGTTTTGTTTGTTTATCCCCAGTTTTATATGTCTATTTTGTCAGCATATGTACGATAACACTCATACATTCATACATACATCATGCATAGCTAAACTTAGCAAGTCATGGCTCATTCATATCCATTAATATCTTGTTGACATATTACCCTGTTTTGTAGAGTTGTGTTGTCCTCTCTCCAATAGAGTGTCATCCATAAGCAGAAAGTGTACATTCTTTCAGTTTCCCCACTAAGCTACTCCCATGAAAGATTTTCGCTTCAGCCTTCTTACACAGCTCTTTGTCTGGATGATTTGGGTTTCCCCTTGAGTTTATTTCTCGAAGGATGTGTTTTGGCTGACTGTTCTACTCCAGTTTATTTGTGGTTTGAATCTTTGCTTCCCATCAATATTATTACTTTTGATCTCTGCAAGCTTCGAGCCTTGGTTTGAGTGTGCATTTATTTTGCACGAGAAGGCTTTATCTCCTCAGCAGGAATATGTTGGCATTTCCCCAGGAAGCCATTTTGTTTTCCCCAGGAAGTTATATTGCCTTCCTCGTGAAGTCGTGATTCATTCCCCAGGAAGTCATGACATTTTCCCCATAAGTCATTTTACAATTCTCCATAACAGCATGTAGCAGGTCTCTTTATTTGAGCAACTTGTATTTCCCCGTAAAAGTCGACGTTACTTTTTTTTGCTATCTTCTCTATGAGTGGATAGTTTGCAGTTCGTTGTCGAATTACTCTAGTGGATAGTTAGTCTTTCAGTATCGCAAAGAGAGTTCGTTGTGAAATCTTTGTAAGTAGTAGTCTCTTTATTTGAGACAGCTTATATATTACCCTTTCCAGGCGGAATGTCTTGGTTAAAGAAGAAGTTGAGACCCGTTCTAGGAGAAACGCCGGAATTTTGGGAAAGGACTTGTTATCTTTTTGCTACCTTCAGTGAATGTTGGTAGTTCATCATCAGTGAACGGCAATGCTATGATATATTTTCTCTCTACCTTCAGTGAAAGTTGGTAGGTCATCATTAGTGAAAGTTGGTGATTGTTATCTTTTTGCTACATTCAGTGAACGTTGGTAGTTCATCGCCAGTGAATGGCGGTGCTATGATATATTTTCTCTCTACCTTCAGTGAAAGTTGGTAGGTCACCTTCAGTGAAAGTTCGTGATTGTTATCTTTTTGCTAACTTCAGTGAAAGTTGGTAGTTCATCGTCAGTGAACGGCGGTGCTATGATATATTTTCTCTCTACCTTCAGTGAAAGTTGGTAGGTCACCTTCAGTGAAAGTTGGTGATTGTTATCTTTTTTCTACCTTCAGTGAATGTTGGTAGTTCATCATCAGTGAACGATGGTGCTATGATATATTTTCTCTCTACCTTCAGTGAAAGTTAGTAGGTCACCTTCAGTGAAAGTTGGTGATTGTTATCTTTTTGCTACCTTTAGTGAATGTTGGTAGTTTATTGTCAGTGAACGGCGGTGCTATGATATATTTTCTCTCTACCTTCAGTGAAATTTGGTAGGTCACCTTCAGTGAAAGTTGGTGATTGTTATCTTTTTTCTACCTTCAGTGAACGTTGGTAGTTCATCATCAGTGAACGGAGATGCTATGATATATTTTATCTCTACGTTCAGTGAAAGTTAGTAGGTCACCATCAGTGAAAGTTGGTGATTGTTATCTTTTTGCTACCTTCAGTGAACGTTGGTAGTTCATCGTCAGTGAACGAAGATGCTATGATATATTTTCTTTCTACCTTCAGTGAACGTTGGCAGTTTCGCCTTCAGTAGAAGTTGATGTATCCTTTGACTTTTTATCAACCTCTATGAGTCGGGTCTTTTGATCCACCTGTGATTTATTTTCCTGGTTTGATTTCTCTCTTGTTTCTTTATTTCCTTTGTTACATCCCCAGTGGTGTTTTGCATCCCTTTGAAGTTGTTCATATGCATTCATACTCATAAGCATTGCATGGCATCTTAGGGCCAAAAATAGGGTTTGTTTTATATTTAAGTATCTTCGATCACTTCGACACGAAGATTTTTAACCTTCGTATCTCCGGATAGAAGAAACTTAAATAAGGGCAGCTGTTGTACCCCAATTTTTGCCCCTAAGATCCCTTCATCATACCACATTGATTCAATCACAACAAGATCACATTAGGAATTTTGGTTCTCTTCCCTATCTTTAGTCTTGCTCTTTGAGGAATCACCAAGCACCTTGACTTGTTTTCTTTTTTTATCATGAATGTTTTGTCTTGATTTTCTTTTTAATTAATAAAATGCAATGTTGGTTTGTCTTACTTGTTAATAATGTAGGTAAATGCAATGTGGCTTAGCAAGTGGATCCATGGGTTCATGAGTTTATTTCCATGCCCTAGTCAATAAAGCTTGAGAAGTTAAAACCTCACCATTGAAGTTGTTTTGGAAGAAATGGAATGGCAAGGTTTATTTTGGTTCACCATATTTCAAAGTTATCAAAATTGATTCAAAAGTACAAGGGGTTGATTGAAGAAGTTGTCATGGTTGGACAAGGCCTTGCTCCCATTGGTCACAAGTGCATATTTCTCTCAATTCTCAAGATATGGAAGTGGTTTCGGTGGCTATGAGTTCTCATTATTATCCTCAATAACTTCTATTTACAAAGTGTGATATGGTGGGAGAACTGACTTGGGTTTTGCGTTTGTTTTTGCAAATGTTTCGGTTGAGCAAGAGTCGCCACCGACTTTTTATTTTATCCTAAGGAAAGGTTAAAAAG